ACCTGCAGGAAGGTTTAGGGGGGTTGTGCAATGTGAAACTGCCGCCCCCCATGAAATAGACTCAATGTCGTGGCGTGTTTCAGCCAATGGGAAAGCATGTGAACTGAAAACAGTTTTTGAGGAACTACAGTAAGATAATCATGAGAACAAATAGATGACCTAGTTTTATGACAATGAGGTTCAAGTTACAATGAGGTCCAACTTGATTTTTTGAAAAATGTCTACAGCTTATTACGTATGCGGTGAGTGACTTTGTAAAAGCAGGACTGATCCTTTAGTTTACAGGCTTTAAAATACATCTGCAGGCTCAGCAGGCTTTAATGTCTACAAGGATTAGTAACAAGTGTGTACAATGTAAATGTTGCAGCAGGTCTTGGGCCTGCAGCCTGAGGAGAAAAGGTGACAAAGATGAGAATTTTAAATAGGCTGTTACATAAGAGCGAGTTAATAGAAGAGAGACTGGTTGTGCAGGTACATGGGGAAGAAAAAAAACACATACACACAAAACCATGCACACATGCATGTCTGAACACAAACTCAAAAAACATTCTTTTAATTTCAGGACGTTTCTCCATCTGAGAGTTGATTTAAAGTGGATGAACCCTGTGACCCACCTCCGGTTTAGACACAAAAAGCAGGTTTCTTTACTTAAATAAGCCTTTAATTATGGTAGACAATTTAAAAAGCTTTTAGTCATGTTTATTTTGTAAATGTATTGGTAATTGGTTATTTTTGACAGTTATTTTTGTCCACTTCTGAGCCATACCTGAACTATGTCCCCAATATTAGCTATATTTTTTTTTCAAGACCCAAGTGTTTGAGGTTATGTTATGTGTTACTGCAAGGAGGAGGAGGAGGCAGGAGAGGATCAGAAAGAGGGATTAGCCATGTTGTGTAACGAGGAGACGTCAATGAGACGTTCACCAATCAACAGACCACATGACACTATAACAATGAGATTCAGTTACAGATTGCTTAGATGTTATGGTGACATTTTGGTGAGTCTGTTGTTGCAGAGGATGTTGCAAAAGAGTGTGACAAGAAAAAATATTCAATAATGTCCTAACCAGGTTCATAACCAGGGCATCTGGTTACCTGCCATCCTCATCTTTATCATTGATGAAAAAAGTTATAGACAGACAGACAGACAGACAGATAGATAGATAGATAGATAGATAGATAGATAGATAGATAGATAGATAGATAGATAGATAGATAGATAGATAGATAGATAGATAGATAGATAGATAGCGTCACGTCACGTGTTGAGGGATTGCGTCAGCATTGAACTGCAGCATGAGCATGTTGTGGACACGTAAGTTGGCTTCAAGTGCAGTGGGAAATTTGATTGCTAATAATCATCTTAGCTGGAACGCAAACAAAAATAAGTAAACAACACCACGTATTTTCACAAAAACAATATCCTTTTTTAATTCGTCGATATTTAATAACGGATTCCGTCCATACATCTATTTACATGGTTTGACATAGATGAAGCTCGTGAACGCATCACGAGGGGCAGGACCTGGGTCTGCACCGAAAAGAAACACGCCTGCGCCACAACCAATCATAGCACTGTGATGCAGGACAAGGGGCGGGTACTACGTGATGTCACAGAAGGATGTGGGTGCGGATGGTGTCATTTGGTTCCCTCCATCAAGAAAAAAACCGAAAACTTCGATTCACGCTCTTATTTTTCACTCGAAACAACCGCGAGGTTTGATCCGTCTTTTTCCAACAGTTTCCGACATGCTGTACGCACCCGAGCTCGTGTCTAGGTGAGTTATGAAAACATAATTCTACTCGACTGTACTGCATTATTGGAGTGTGTGAAAACCGCGACATGTGCCAGTATAACGTAAATACTACATAAATTATTCGTCACTGTTTAACGGCAGGAAACGATGAGAATGTTAGTTTTAAAACGAATAAATATTTAATAATAAGTCAACACGGACGGGTAAATGATGGCTTACATCAGTGCACAGTTCCCACACTAGTGGGACACAAAACCCCGCAAAGCAGTGTATGTGCTCCGTCAGTCACGTCGGCTCATCCACGCAGCCCTCCTCGGGTTTCACCGCCACAGACGGAGTCAGTAGCATATATTTTTTTCCGTCACAGAGGACGGGGATTTGACCGTGAAATTCCGTTCTGACTCAGTGTGAGAGCTGACACTTCGCTGCTTAGAGATTTAACGACTGTGTGAAGTCAGTCAGAACAGACTGTGGGAGGACGTGAGTGATCGTGGCATCAAATGACTCACGGGGAGAATCATGGGGAAAAGGCAGGAAATGTATTAATATTTATATATACTGTAAGTATTTAATTTATTAAGACTTAAGATTTAAAATCTGTGGAATCAAGCCCCAAATCATTACAGAGCCTGCCCTGTGCTTTAGAAACGGTTTTAAAAAGTCATTGGTATATTTTTTCTAACTTTACATTTTAGATATTTATACATAAAACAATCGATGATACTTATAGCCTTTTAAGCTACAAGTAGTTGTTGCTAATTAAAATTAAAAGTAAGTAAAAGTAAAAGTGAAAGGGAATTATTTGTCAATGTGAAACAGCAGATAACGATAATTTTAATTTATTTATTCACGCTTTCATCAGGCTTTTGCTCATGACCAACCTGGAGGACCAGTTTAATATCTCAGTACTTGCGCTAATAAGTAAAAGTGAAAGGGAATTATTTGTCAATGTGAAACAGCAGACAACGATATGTGACTTCTGTTTTTAACCCATCACCAAAGTCAACAGTGGACAGGTTATAAGCTCCCGGGGAGCAGTGTGGGGACGGTGTTAAATCAGGGTAATCAGGGTGTTCACTTTGCTCCTGGTGTTAGTTCGAGTCTAAGTTTATAGAATAAAGTTCTTGTCAAATTCAAAACACAGAAAACGAAGAACGTACATATCTTTATATCTCACACACACATCCTCACACACACATACTTACAGGATACACCATGCATTTGTGTAAACATTTGTTACTCATTCCAAAGGAAATCAGTCATTCCAGTTTTATAAGTCAAGTATTAGTCACACACCCACAACATTCCTGTTGCTACATCAGGTTCCTTGTTTTAGTTGTAGTTTAGTGAGTAATTCATTATGAATTTTAAAAAATAGATTATCATTTTAAAATTTCTAAATCTGCAGATCAGTGTTTTATGACTAAGGAATGGATCAACATTGATTTTCATGGTTCCTTATATTCCTGCAAATCTGTTTATGGGGGGAAAAAAAGTGACAGATTTTAGATGGACTGAACCACAGCTTGAGAACCAGGACTCTAACCCCTTCTCGTTCCCTGTTTCTCACTTTCAGTGACAGCTATGAAGAATGTCGGACTGCAGCTGACTGGCTGCTGTCCAACACACAAGTGCGTCCGACTGTGGGAATCGTGTGCGGGTCAGGTCTGGGAGGCCTGGCTGACATGCTCAAGGACCCGCAGGTCTTCAAGTACAGCGAGATTCCCAACTTCCCCCAGAGCACAGGTATGACAACAGCTGCATCTGCTGCTGTGTGGGAACCAGCAGCTGTGAATCGCTGAGTGTGCATGTTTGTGGCTACACTAATACACTAATGTGTGTGTGTTACAGTGCATGGTCATGCTGGACAGCTGGTGTTTGGAACCTTGAAGGGCAAACCCTGTGTTTGTATGCAGGGCAGGTTCCACCTGTACGAGGGCTACCCCGTCCAGAAGGTGAGAAGAGTTACCAAAAGGACAGGGTTCTGACGGGTGATAGTTTAGAAATGACGGAGTTAAATATACAGGGGTTGGACAATGAAACTGAAACACTGGCCAATTTAGTGTTGGGGTTTCATGGCTAATTTGACCAGCCTGGTGGCCAATCTTCGTTGATTGCACATTGCACCAGTAAGAGCAGAGTGTGAAGGTTCAATTAGCAGAGTAACGACACAGTTCTGCCTAAAATATTGCAATGCACACAACATTATGGGTGACATATCAGAGTTCAAAAGAGGACAAATTATTTTTATGCACGTCTCGCTGGCGCATCTGTGACCAAGACAGCAAGTCTTTGTGATGTATCAAAAGCCACTGTATCCAGGGTAATGTCAGCAAACCACGAGAAGGACCAACCTCCTCCAACTATGTCCAAAACACCAAAAAAACAAAACCACAGCTGCCCAACTCACTGCAGGATTAAATGTGCACCTCAACGCTCCTGTTTGAGCTCCACAGGGTTTCAGTTTCATTGTCCAACCAAATATTTTTTACTCATTAAGAACTACTGTAATACCTTCTGTTTGTCCTCCCAGATCACATTGCCCATGCGCGTCTTTAAGCTGATGGGTGTGGAGACGGTGTTCCTGACCAATGCAGCTGGAGGCCTGAACCAGGACTTTAAGGTCGGAGACGTCATGATCATCAAAGATCACATCAACATGCCGGGGTTCGCTGGGGTCAACCCTCTGTCTGGACCAAATGATGACAGGTGGGTGGATCAGTCGAGTCGAGGCAAGGAATTTTATTTGTTTAGCTTTAATTCACCATTCAATTCACAATTGAATCAGTGATGGGGAGA